ACTAAGATCGGGGCTTCTCACCTTTCACCTTGGCTGCCTATTTGCTTGGTTTCCTTAAAGATTCAAAAAAAAAAGGATCTAGATTGGGTGGGGGCTGTTGGAATAGGGGCCCAGGAGCCCCTCTGGCCAAGGGGAGTACACAGCGTGGGGAGAGAAAGCCCCCTCAGAAGCCTCTGTGAACTGGGTCCCCGGTGGCTGTCATGAAAGGGTTATCCCACACATTCGATGTTTGCAGAAATGTGGGTTCTTTCAGATTCCAAAACTCATTTCCATGACAAAACTCTTGGGAAGAGAAGATGAAGGCCTGGCTTTTGCAGAACAATCTTCCAGCTGTAATGAGGACGGAGGATGGCGATGGGAAAAGGAATTATAATTAGAATATGAAATGGGGAAAATTAATCTATTCCAGTCAGTGCTAAGAGGATGTGCTGGCGCTTCATGGAAATTCTTAGGCTGATCTTTCCCTCTACATTTTTCTTTTCACGTTGTAAAGCATACAGAGGGCTGTGTGGTGTGAAAAGAGGTTTTTGACTGAGGGACTGATGAGTTGTGAGCTCTGCACAGAATGTAAGTCCATGTGCATCTTTGCTTTGTATGTCTCTACCTGCTCAAGCCGTACATGTTTGGGTGCACATCCATGTGAGTTATCTTTACACGGCTGCACATGGTGTATTTACACACACCTGGGCCTCCCCTCTTTCCCATGTGTGCATGCTGTGTATTGTGTACTCAGGCCTGTAAATGGTCTCTGATATGTGCACACTCATGCTCATGCTGTGGACACACCTGTTTGTGTTGGTTTGTGTAACCCAGGGATGTGGTACATGTGTGACTAAGCGCTGTGTTGAACGCTGTGTTCTGTGTGACATGGGCCCCCGCTGGTTTGTGGTGCATATGCGGTCACCATGCTTGGGCACACTGTATACGTTGTATACCTTTGTGGTCACACACACACTGAGCACTCACTGTGTGGTGGGTGTGGATGTGGTGTTGCCATCATGCCTGTGCACACAGAGAAGGAGGTGGCCCTGCTGTGAGCAGAGGCTGGCTTAGTGACATCTCCTTGTGACCTGTAAGTTCTTTCTTTCAGAAAGGACCCTTCAGGGGGAAGGCTGAGGGGTAAGCCAGGCCTTAGTGCCCTGGAGGCTAAACCCTGGGAAGGCTGGGAGCCCTTGGGGCCCCCCCTCTCCTTTCTTCCCCCCTTCCACCCTAGGCAGAGGTGGACAGAGAAAGGATGTCCCCCCATCTCAGGGCTCTGCTCATGGCTGCTCAGTAGCCAGGTCCCGAGCCCAGTGTGCTCCCAGCACCCATGCCAGGCACCGGGGTAACCAAATGGAGGCTGACCCAGGCCCTGCCTTGAGAACTGCCACCAACTCCTCAGGTGCCCCTTAAAAGCAGGAAGCAGGCTTGACTCCCACATGTGGAGGAGACACATGAATGAATAAGCCCACTGGAGGCAGACTCTGGTGATGTCAGGGGACCCACTGCCCGACCGCCTTCCTACCCCAGCACACACATCAAAAGCCAGGGTCTCTCTTGCTCACATCCCCAGTGCCATTCCCCTCTGCTCACTGCAGATAAGTCCTCCCTCCCAAACCACGAACACATCCTCCTCACACACCTAGCGGGTGCCGGGCCGAGTGATCATCGGTTATGCAGTGCGGGTGCAGCAAAGCCTGGTCCCTGCTGCCAAGCAGCTCCCAGCCCGGAGAGCAAGCCGAGGAGGCAGACAGACCCTCGGAAGTCCAGCCTCTCCCCACCTGCGCCATCGGGCAACCGCTTATCGTCTCAGCCCGTTTCCTCGGTTTTCAACAGGGAAGATGGCGCCTGCTGCTTTCGGTTGTTGCAGGTTTGAATGAGACCTTTGACGGAGAGTATTTTCGGTGGTGGGTACACTCGGATTTGCTGAGTGCCTGCTGTGTGCATCGAGGGAGAAAGCACACAGGGCCCCTCCTTTCAGGGTGGCCCCGTCCCGGCCAGCATTTAACAGATGGGCCACAACACAGGCCTTTGGGGTCATCGTTCCCTCTTCTCCTTCGATACATATGCCCATGTTTTTAACCCATACAGCACTGTTTGATTCCTATTGCTTTATCAGATGTTTCAAGTACCTGGTTAAACTTCATCTCCCTCCATTTCCATTCTTTCTTTTAGAACATACTTATAAATTATATGTGGTTTTTAAAAAATTTCACTTTTATCAAAGTAATAGATAGCCCAGGTGACACCCAGGAGCTTTTGTTGAAAGCTCCCTGCCCTGCCCATTTCACAGTCCCATTCCCGATACCAGCCTGTGGCGGGTGCTGGGACTTGGAGATGACGAGAACACTGTGCCAGCCTCGATGTTGCTCCCACACGGGCAGAAGACAGACGTGCAGACAGTCTATGTTGTAAGTCAGAGGAGGTGACAGCATGGCAGACCTCCTGGAGGAGGTGATCTCTGAGCAGGGCCTTGAAGCATGAGCTCTATGTCCAGTGTGTAGACGGAGCTATGCATTTGGAGTCACTGCCCGGATCCTAGGCATGACATGGCCTTTTCTTTAGCTAATTCAGCAGCCACAGAAGGATCTCTGCCTGTCCCTGTGCTGGGAAGGCATTTGGGTGTAACCACCAATTCCACTGCCTTTGATGGGAAGACTGCCCTGGTAAAGATAATGTGTTTCATCCATCCATCTATCCATCCATCCATCCATCCATCCATCCACCCACCCACCAACCCATCCATAAGCATTTATTATCTCCTGTGTGCCAGGCACTATTTTAGGTGTCTGGGAGCCTCCATTTTAGTATGTGTGTGAGGGTCCAGCTATAAGCAGTGAACTTGGTAAATTATGGAGATGCTAGAAGATAAAGGGGGCTATGGAGCAAAGAACAGGGAGGAGCAGGGCGGCAAGGGGATCTGGGGCTGCTGGTGGTGGTGGTGGAGGCTGGCCTCCGAGCCGGCTGTTAGGAAAGCCGCTCTGACTGAAGTGGGTCTGGATGGACTGACATCTTGTGCCTGATGGTGGGAGTGTGGACTTTCACAGCCTCCACGAGAGCTGCTTGGCAATGTCTATCAGAGTTACAAATGCAGACACAGCTGGACCCTGCGATGACACAGACAAAGCCTACCGTAAACTCACACCCCTGCGAGCGATGGATGCACAAAACTATTCATAGAAACAACTCAATTGCCCTGTGCCCAACCAGTTCCATGTATATGTTACATCCATCCGTGGGGTACTAAGTACCAGAAGACAGAATTCTGTGCTGATATAAAAAACTTCCCAGCCTAGCCAGCGTGGCTCTGTGATTGAGCGTCGACCTATGAACCAGGAGGTTGCTGGTTTGATTCCTAGTCAGGGCACATGCCTGGGTTGCGGGCTTGATCCCCAGTGGGGGGCATGTAGGAGGTAGCCAATCAATGAGTCTCTCTGATCATTGTTTCTATCTCTCTATCCTCCCCCTTCCTCTCTCTCTAAAAAAATCAATAAAAACATATTCCAAAAATAAAAATAAGGCTTCCCAGATGTGTTGCTAGGAGAAACATAAGGTGCAAAACAGTGTGTATAATATGCTGTTATGTGTGTGAAAGAAACGACTATGAAATGTATACATGCGGGCCATCTCCGGAAGGATATAAAGGAAGCTGGTAGATGCAGCGACTGCCCCTGGAGAGAGGCAATGGATGGCTGGGAGGTGGGGTAGGAAGAGATTTTTCACTCTGTTGCCTTTTGTACTTTGGGAATTTTGAACCATGTGCCTATCACCTAAGGAATAAAATGAAATTTCCAATGAAAATGGCCAGCTGCTGTTGGTGCCCCACCCAGACACTTCACTAGCTAGCACAGCCATCCTCCACCTGTCGTGAGCTCTGGCTGCAAATGGCTCACAGCTGGCATAGTTCTCTGGCGAGCTGTCCTTGGCCACACAGGGGCCACCCTACTCAGAAGGCTATGCCTCCACCTGTCTGCTAGGGGCAGCCCACAGCCAGTGGAGCTACAAAAGGCCAGCCCCTCGCTTCATGCTGGGACTAACTGGATGGTGCAATTCATGCGCAGAGCTCCCATAGGATCAGGCTGCAGCAAGTCTCCAGCGGAGACCACATCCTTTGCTTAGCTCCTTGCACTGCCCTGTCCTACCTCCCTCCTTCCCTGTACGGTTATTCCTAAAGGGTACTTCTCCCAAACCACATGCATTTGAATTTTTGACTCAGGCTCTGCTTCTAGGGAACATGGTCCAAGTCACCTGTCTTAAGGGAAGGGAACTACCTGGAATTGAACCAAGTGCTCTGCTGGTGTCAGTGCAACATCCCATGAAGAGGGGACTCTCATTATCCCCGTTCAATGAGTGAGGAACCTCAGAAGTTCCGTCACCAGCTCAAGGTGACACATCAGGGAAAAGGGCAGCCAGTGGCCCCAGAGCCCACGCTTCTCCCACTGCACCTGCTCCCTCTGCACAGAACTCTTCCTGAATCCAGACTTGGCAGCTGCTCAGAACATAGGACTGTAGTTCCTCTACATGGTTCCTACCACGGTCCTCACTTCCTGCAGCCAGCGGTGGCCTAAGGGGCAAATGTGAGGGGGCAGAGCAACTTAAGACCTTGAGGGCACATCTGGGGCAGGCTGTCATGACACCAAAGCTCTGGAGACTCAGCCTCCCTCCATCATGTGGAATTCCAACTCTCGCTGGTAGCCTGCGGTCATTTTGGCCAAGAGAGAGATTTACATACTTCCAGAGATGGGGAGCTCAGTATCAGGCAAGGCAGGCTGCCACCTCTGTGGACAAGGTATAAAGGGCAGAAAGGTTCTCTTCATTCATCCTACGTGTGATGAATGATGCTCACCCTCAGGGAGCTGGGGTTGCTGCTCCACCCTGGAGGGATCCCTGCTGACAGGGAAGCCTGGGCTCGGTCTTTGCTCCTTTCCCCTCCGAGCATCCAGTCCCCTGGCCTCCTCTGGCTTCTCCTGGGCCTTCCCGAGAACATTCTATTCAGAGCTTCTTCTCTCTCTGTGTTCCAGTTCGATGGTGACAGTGCCTACGTGGGGATGAGTGACGGAAACCCAGAGCTTCTATCAACCAGCCAGGTGGGTGCGCCGTCCTTTCTGAGTTGGGTGGCGGGTGTCTAGCCTTGGGCTGGCTGGAGCCAAGCTGCTCTGGGGTGGGAGGGGCACAGAGTGGGGGCACAGCCCACCACTGTCCTCTTTCAGAATAATCAAGAATATCAGTTGAATCCCCTTAAAAGGGATGATAAACCAGGACTATAGTGTTTTCTGTAAATCACCTATCATTATTAAAAATAGGATAAAACTCAAAATGTGTTGTCCATCTTCCCCATGCACAGAGGGGAAAGTTTTAGCAGCACTGAATAGAGATGTCACATGTTCCCTGGTGCTGCCGGTCCCTTGCCACCACACAGCACCCATGGGGCCATACGTTGGCGCGGAGGTGTACACCTCATGCAAAGGCACGTGGGTTTCTCCTGCTGGAATCTGACTTTCCACTGAGAGCCTGGTCTCTGAAGATTAAGGTGTTTTTCAGCTGGGAGCATCCTCATACACTCTAATGCCGGGAGTTTCCTCACCGCAGGCTGGGACACCGGGGAGGGTCCGCACTGCAGGCTGTCCTGAGGAGCAGTAGACATTATTATTAAGCCCGTTTTATAGATCAGGCAACTGAGGCTCAAGGATGTTTACTGACTCATCCTGGGAGCAGTCCAGCTGGCATTTGAACCTGCATAGCTGGGACTCAGAGCTGCACAAATTACCTTGCTGTGTATGTGGAGAGCTCCATTCCCACCTCAAGGCTGCCACCAACTTGTTTCAGCCTAAATGTCATTCTTTAGAGAGCTCTTGGTGACCCCAAAATCCAAATTAGGTCCCCTCCGCATGATCCTCTCTCATGGTACCGTGTCCTTTTAACTCATGACATCTGCCACCGTTTGTGGTTCTGCTTACTTGTGTAATGACTTGGTTAACATCTGATTTCCACTCCAGACTGTGTCCTCCAAGAGGGCAGGATCTGGTCTCTCTTTTTCACTGTTGTGTCCTCCATTGCAGCACAAAGCCTGGCATATAGAAGGCACTCAAGAAAGATTTGCGTGATGAGTGAATGTGGCTCCTTCTTTTCTCTGACTTGAGTTTTCCTAACAGTGGAATGTGGTGGTCGGACTCACAAGGGTCTTTCCAAGTCTCCTGAGCCATCACTCAGAGAGTCTTCTTAACTTAGAACTTTGTAAAGAAGACACCAGGATCCCCTGAGATTGACTAAGTCCACCTGGTGGCATGAGCCAACCTTGTTGTGAATAGATTTGGTGATTATAATATAGACTTCTTATAGTGTATCAGTTAGCTTTTGCTGCATAACAAGCACCCCAAAACTTAGTTTCTTAAAACAGTAAATATTTACCTATTTCATAATTTCATGGGTTGGCAGTTTGGTTAGGTTCAGCCACGTGGCTCTTCTGGTCATGGCTAGGATCATTTAAGTGACAGCAGGAAGCTGCCAGGTCAGCTGTAAGCTGATTAGTCTGAGGGACTCACTTCTACTCAGATGGTCTCTTGTCCTCTGGCAGGCTAGCCCCAGGTTGTTCATGCAGTGGGAGAAGGGTTCCCAGAGCAGGAAGAGCAGAATCTGCAGGATCTCTTGAAGTCTAGATGTAGAGCGGGCACATGACTACCTCCAGTGCATTCGATTGGTCAAAGCAAGTCACAGGGCCAGTCTAAATTCAAGGAATGGGGAAATAGATTCCACCTGTTAATGGGAGGTGCTGCAAAGTATTGTGGTCTTTTCACAAACTAGCACATGGGAAACCTGTGGCATGTTATTCATGCCGTTTTGCTGAAGAATAATGGACTCTGGGACCTACAGCTCCCAGTGGCTTGGTTGGGCTCCACTGGCCTCTAGTTCTTAATGGCAAAAATGCTGTATATTTCTTCCCGGTGTTTTCCCTGGAGTGCTTGCTTGAACTCACACACGACATTTGCACACAAACATGCAATCATCGTGTGTTGCCTCGTCCACTGCAGGAAATGTGTTCTCCCAGCTACTGAAGGATTGACATAAACATGTGGCAAAATGAAAGTCTTGTAGCCAATAGAGGATTCAGAGGATAAACACTCTGAATGGCATAAAATGCAGTTTATAAATACAGTTAAGTACAATGTTTACCCATTTAGCAAATGTTTATTGGGCAGCTATTATGTGCAAAGCTCTGGACATAAGCTGGAAGCCATTTCTGGGAGATGTTTGCTTCTAGAACATCCATTTTCATCATGTTGAAAACCTGCTCTTCCTGAAACCCCATCTTCTTTATTTAGAAACTGCAGCTGAGACAGAGGTTCTGACAGGATATACATCAGCCAACTGTATTCGCCTTTAAAAACTTTCAAACCAGCTCTTTTGGGCTTGAAGTTTCTTTTGCAAATTCATGCTCCATTGTTTGGCTTTTGCAAATCTCCACAAAATTCCTGCATAACAGCTTTAGCCTTTACATATTATCACTTCTTCCTCCTCCCTGGAGCTTGCATTTCTTTTGTACTAGACTTGCCTGGGTGGTCTGAGACCTGCTGCTGTTCTCAGGCATGGTTTCTGGCCCGTCAGCATCTTCTGGGGGTGGAGGGCCTGGTAGAGATCAGCTCTTCCCCAGTTGGGAGCAGACCCGGCAGGAGTTACAGGGGTTCCTAGTTCCTGGTTATGTGACCTGGGAGGCGTAGAAAGAGGAAAGGAACTGGCTTGGGATCTCAGCAGGCCTGCACTCAAATCCCAGGTCTTCCACAGCCCAGCCAGGAGCCCTCACGTAAGTTATGCCAGCTTCCTGTCCAATGGGAAGAGTCACACCCGCCCCGAGGCTGTGTGAGAGGTCCATGAGGTGTGTGTTGTGAATTCTGTTGTGCCTCCCAGTTTCCCTTCACCGGGACAGGGCAGCTCTTCCCAGCTGCCCCCTCTCTGGAGAATTGGCCTCTGCTGAGTGGGAGCCATGAGCCTAGGGGCGGTGGGGAGACCTGGCCCCTTGTCTCAAGAGGAGGCCAACTCTATAACTCTCTGAGAACGTCCTTGCTCAGCTCCTTCCTGCCCCATACTGCTTCTCTCCCTTCCTTTCTTCTGAGTCACTTCTCAGTAAGTCACTGTCTCAGCAATTCCCATCTCAGGTTCAGCGTCAAGGGAATCTAACTACGACAGTATGTAAAGTACCTGTGTTCCATAAAACTAGTGAGGACTTTTTTTTTTGCATTTTATTTTATTGTTTAAAGTATTACAAATAGTAGTACATATGTCTTCTTTTTTTCCCCCATTGACCTTCCCAGCCCCCACCCCGTGTCTTGCGCCCATTGGTTATGCTTATATGCATGCATACAAGTCCTTCGGTTGATCTCTTACCGCCCCCACAACCCTCCCCAACCTTCCCGCTGTAGTTTGACAGTCTGTTCGAGGACTTATTTCTATTGTTTTTTTTTTATTATTTGTAACTTGATTTGCTATCATTTTAAATTATTTGAGGATGTGATTTTATTATTTTTTTCATTAAAATTTTTTCAATGACAGTTTACATTCCTATTATTGTGCATTAGTTTCAGGTGTACAGCCTAGTGGTTAGACAATCCTATACTTTACAAAGTATATTGTAAAGAAAATACTGATATTTCCAGTACCCACCTGGCACCATGCGTAGTTATTACGATGTTATAGATTATATTTCCTGTGCTGCACTTTATTGTTTCTATTGTTTTTATTACCATAAACAATACTTTGGTTGCAGAAGACAAATCTCTGCTCACTTCTGGTGCTCATTTCTAACTCTGAGCCTTTGTGTGCACTCTTTCCTCTGCTAGACATCCCCTAGCCATTCACCCAACACATGCCTATTTGTTCTCTCAGGGACACGCAAATGTCACCTCCTCAGTACAGCCTTCCTGGCTGTGGGTAGAGTTTCCACTCTCATGGCTCTAAATACTACTACTAGGGATTTCTGACTTTGTCCTAGGAGTTATTGAAAAAACTTGGTGTGTGTGTGTGTGAGGGGGTGGGGGGGAGAGAACTGGAACATGACTATTTCTAGCACATTCAGTTAGTCAAAGCAAGTCACTGGGCTTTGTTAGTGAGAAGGAGAAAAGAGAGAGATTGATATTGAATGACGTGATCAGATTTGCCGTTTTAAAAGCTCTCAGTGGCAAAGGTGGATACAGGGAGACCACACAAGAGGGTGTGTAATAGGCCAAGTGGAAGGGTGATGTGTTCTAGATTGTGGTAGAGGAAATGGAAAGAAGTGGATGGATCTGAGATACGTTTTGGAAATCAAGTTGGTAGGTCTTGATGATGATGGATGTGGAGGGACAGAGAAATGGAGGAGAAAGGGCGCCTCTCACTCAGGCGTCTAGCATGGACCCGTTTTCCAGCACAGTGGTGCCGTTTTCTTAGCTGGGGACAGCCGGGGAGGAGCAGGTTTGGTGAGGTCAGACTTGGACATGTTACATTTGAGAGGCTTGTCCAAGGAGGTCAATAGTTGTCAGATTCTGGAGCTCCTGCGGGAAGTGAACTTGGAGGTATTAAAACCTTGACAGACTGAAACTTGCAGAGAGGAGAGTGAGAAGAGCAGAGGACCAACGACCCTTACATTTTGGGTTCTCGCATTTAAAAACAAAGTAGAGGAGGAAGGGAAGACCGTGAAACAAGTGGAGAAGTGGAGAAGCAGTGGCCAGCGAAGCAGAACATGGAGTCTTAGAAGCCAAGGGCAGAGTGTTCCAAGAAGGAGGGAAGGGATCTGGGGAGAAATGATGTTGGAGCCACAGCTACTTCCCTATCAAAGAATCAACTTTAAGTAATTGAAGGGTTTATATGTACTCAAGGAAACTATAAAGGCACCAGAAATGAAGCCTTTGAGGTATACTTTACCACTTTGGGGTAGAAAAGACATTTTTTTATGCCTCAAAGTCTTAGAAGAAAAGACTTAAAAATTTGACCATAAATTAATGAAAAACAACTTTTGCATGGCCTTAACGGCGTAAGTAAATCAAAAGATAAATGAAAAATTGGGCAAGAATATTTTCAACTCACAATATAGTCAAAGGACTAATTTCCTTAACATGTA